GCTCGCTAACATCCCAGGGCGGCGTGCGCAAAGCATTCCCCTCCTCCTGAAAAAGAAAAAAAAAAAAAAAAATTATTTTGGAGGAAATTTTTTTTATGGCAAAATGTGGATGCGCGGATGGCGACCTTTTCTATGTCCAGGCATATTTTAACGAAGTATTCATTTTTCGCAAAAGTATCATAAATGTTTGTTCCCAAATTAATGAGAACGTCTAAGATTAACCGATATTGATGGAATCCATATTGATTGGGATCTAGGATATTATTTGACTTGTTTCAAGTAATTTGAGATACAATTGGTTAATGAAATAGGTCTATAAATCTCTGGTTTGTGTTTGTTTTTGTTAGGTTCGAGAATAGGAATGATAACTATTTTTCTCCATTCATTAGGGAAGACTTGGCAACTTCACACGCAATTGTAGATTCTTAATAGATATTTTCATCCGATTAGGGATAGTTGTTTTAAAAGTATATTTCATATATTGTCTGATCCCGAAAATGAGTTTTTAGTTGATTGTAAAACTTAGAATATATCTAAGGATATATCAGCATCGAGTGGCTGTTCCGTGATAGGGTTATTCGAAATATGGCTGGAATCTGATAGGTTTGGATTACTATCTCCCTATAAAGGAAAAGAAGAATTATTATCGATGTTATTAGAGTTTTGAGAGAAGGTGCAGGCAAGTGCGTCAGTTATTGCTTTTGGATTATTTAAGTAGTTGTAATCGTGAGATATTCGATCTCTATATTGGATCGTGATCTTGACATAACCTTGACATAACCATACTTCTTTCACTGGTGTTTGGTTAGTTATGGAAACCGTAAATGTCATCCAAGATTGTTTTTTGCATTATTTTATTATTTTACGGAATTTTGCTCGCAGTTCTATGTAATTGATTAAGTTTTCTACGAAAGCGTTGTTTTTTTCTCTGTTGAATGCATGGTAACTTTCTTTTCTGACCAGTTGACATTTCTCATTCCACCAGAGAGTAGTGCGTTTTTTATTGCTATTCGGTTTTAAGAGCCTTGTACTTTCATGAATTGCTTTGTTAATGTGGTCGAGTTAAAAAAATTAATCGCTCGATTGATATTTTTTGGGTCGATTTTTTTATCTGTCCTGCTTTGAATAATATCAGTCATTATATCCTTGTACCTATACCAATCAATTGTTTTTAAATGCCATTTAAGAATAGGAGATATGCATATAGGATGGCGTCGTATAGTCTTCAAATGATATTTTAATTAAAAAATTGTCACTATTATGGAGGTTCTCTAAGGTCGACCACTCCATATTTTGTGCCAGATTGCTACTGCAGATTGATAGATCTATTGAGCTAAATGATACATTACTTACAGGAAAATGGGTAGAGTCTCCTGTGTTAAGAAGTATCAGGTTTGGATTTTCAAGTAACTTCTTCAATATTTTTCCACGGACGTCTGTCCTGGTAGAGCCCTAGAGATGGTGATGACTGTTAAAATCTCCAACAAGAAGGAGTGGGAGTTGTATTTGATTGATAAGGTCTTCTAATTCTGTTATGTTTAATGCATAGCTGAGCGGAATGTATACGTTGCATATTTGCAATTTCTTTGGGAGTGATACACTCACTGCTATTGTTTCTAAGTTGGGGCTTAGCGGAATTTCGATAGCAGAGAATTTATCGGAGATTGCAGTTGTAACGCCCCACTTGTATGGTTCTCACTGTCCCCATTTTTGGAAAAAGTGTTATATCCTTTTAATTTCATCTGATAATGTTATTTTAAACTCGATCTCTTACAGGCAGAGGATAGGCGATAGATAGATAGAATATTTTGTAGTTGTTCGTAATGAGCATAGTATCCGTTAATATTCTAAAGAATTACTTCTTTCATAATTAATGTCGGAGGTATCTATCGATTGAGAAATACAAGATTGGTAAATACATAATTTTAGAATCTTCATTTTCTTGTAGTGAAACATTATGGGCTTCGCAATTATCTAACAATAGGATTACTTTCTCTCATATTTGTTTCCCCTTCTGATTTTGTTTTACAGATGGTTTGAAAAGATTTTCAAACCAATCTAAAAATAATGTTTTGTCCATCCATGCATTTGCCGACGATTTAAAAATTACAGATAATGAAACGTCGTGATTCTTATATGTGCCTAACGCATTTACACATAAGCCAACTGTAATACTATCTTTTTTCGCCTTATGTCCACGTAAGATTTTTTTCTTCTTCTCCAGCCAGTGTTTTCATCAGAATAGCCTTCCATACAAGTCCACTTTCGTCCATATTGTAAACATTTTCCAAACTTGCATTTTCTTCTTCTATTATCTTTTTTTAAATTAATTATAAAAACATATGCTTCATTCTGATCAGCACTAGCTTTCTCCTCGTACATCTTTACTAAGCGTATGCCATGACGTCTTTTAAATTTTGTTAATCAGCCACGACTCGCTTTAAATCGCAAACACGACGGCAAATTGTCTTTCAATTCCATCGCCTTTGAGATGAGATTATTGGTTATACGGTCACCAAGTGTTCCTTGTACGAACCATGCCAATAATTGTTTATCTACTTCGTTACATACTGGCTCTATTATTCTTTGTCGATTAAGTTCACATTTACTTTTATCTGCAAACTCATTAATTTTTGTAGCATTTCTTAGAATGTTTTAGTGCCAACGCCATATTGCATTCCAATTTGTTTAGATGAGACCAAATCCTGTTTCTCGATGATTCTTCAAGACATCAAAGCGTTGCTGCATGTTTAACAACACATATATATTTGTATGTATTTAGAAATAAAACTATTAAAGAGGACGATTACTAATAACGATATGAACTGCCACAATTTATATATTATTAACCGCTTCGCTCCCATGGACATGTCATATCATGACACCGATACTGTACGTGTCGTGCCCGCTCAACCATCTATTGATGTTTAGTGTGTCTAATAGTGTCAGGAATTCTGCTCCGAATCTGCTCCAAGTGACGGAAAGAAGACTTCACAAATAGGATTGGACGATTCTAGTGGATTGTCAATGAAAATCCATTGGCATCATCCAATCTCATTTGTGATGGGTAATTCTCCCACTTCTACTTTTCTGGAAGAAAGTCGTAAAACGGTCAAGATGCTGGGAGGTCTGCTCGGAACTGGCCACCGACGCTTATACTATTATACCGAGACAAGGAAGGAGGATGAATACGAGTGAGATACGTAGCTGGCATGTGCCGGCAGATTCGAACAACTGGTTTATAGGACAGTTCAATACGCTCGATCCTCGAAGTCGGTTCGGCAAAAGTGTGGACGCTAAAATAAGCACTACTGTATAAGATCATAGACGAGATCTCGCAACATAACTTCGCTTGTGCGATGCTACGGACGTGTTATCCCGCGACGCAATACCGTTCGTGTGATGCCACAGACGAGTAAACAAGCGCTTCTATTTTTACTCCGTCTGTAGCCACTTAGCTTGCTCAGATAAGTAAGACCGGGAAGCTGCAAGGCACGTGATCAATCTCAACGACCATTGATCCTTCATACTCTATCAAACGCATAGGCTCGTTTCATCAAATCTTCATCGAATCGAGACATGTAGTCTCCGAATTGCCAATTACGTCGAATTCAAGTATGTGGCCTCCAAATTTCCGTCGAACGTAGCCCCGAATAGCATAACTCCACTGATACTTTCTTTTGAACGACATACATACCTTCTTTGACGTTGTCTATAATATTTTTCTAATTTTTTTTTGTTATGATTACAATTTGTGTAATGAAATAAAATAAGTTATATGCTACGTATAACGAATAAATATGGTCTGAAGGTGTTTGGTCTCATTTTAATTGGAAGAATCTGACTAATATATTAAAAAAAATTTTCATGTATAAAAAATTAGAAATAAACAAGTTAAGTTATCGTTTTTATTCTAGCATTATATACTATGTATTCATATTAATGTACGCTGGTACGCTGGTTTTTTTGCCGACTGTCCCGAGTTTCTCTCTCTCTCTCTCTTTCTCTCATTCATGAGACGCCGACAAATATAAAGGCAAGCCGCAAAGCTCGAAGAATTGCGACTGAGTGTCCTCCGATTACCGTTTTCAATTTTGAGCTGCAGGCCTTTAACACTAGATTACCTAAGGAAGTCATTTTGACTGCTTTTTAATTTCAATTAGAAAACAAATTATGTATATAATGATACAATTTCTTAGAATTTTGTGACTTTTTGTACAACATATAAATGCGTTTATTAATAATTGTAATTACCTCCCTCCCTCCTTCATTTCCGTATATCTATGTGTTATACCTATATTGCCCAAAAGCAGTCGTTTTGACTTTATGTTCACAAATATACAAAAATCAAAGCTTTAGTTAAAAATAAAGCAATTATCGAAAACACAGTACACTACAACTTTCCAAAGTAAACAAACCCTAATTAGCATCATGGTGGAACAAAGTTTTGACATATTAAAAGATTTACAACGAAGGAAATTTACTATCTCTGAATAGTAAAAAAATATTGTTTC